TAACTGGATACTGGAGACAGCTGTATCCTCCACTCTTCCCCCCCCCAGAGCTTCAGGATGTGTCTTTTACTTTTACCTGTTCTTGCATAGGAAAGAAAAAAGGGACTTTAAACCCCATGGGTTACAAAGGGATCAATATGAGTCCCCAGGAGTCCTCCCTGTTCTGTTCATGATTACACTATATGAACACGGACTCCTCCTCTGGGGGATATATCCTGACATCCATCTCTGCTCTTAAAAGTTTGAGTTTTGTAATGATGTGATAGATTTCACGGCTCTTGCTTAAATGTATGGACCACATCAGAAGCAGATCTGTGAATGGAACCCAGGGGTCCTACTGTTTCAGGATGTGGTTTTAGACTGCTGCCACAGAATTACCATTTTTAATAGGGCTACTGAAATAGCTTGCACGATGGCAGTGAGGTTCAGTTGCAGCTTAGAAATTAACCCTGTATCAGAGTTTGCCTTGCATCATTTCCACCCACTCTGGCCCTCCAATCTGAGACTTGTCAGTGGTCAGTTCAGCTCGCAAAGATGCTGTGAGAGATGTGAGCATAGCCTCTTTGTTTCCAGTCCCTGGGGAATCACAAAATCCTCCAAACCAAGGTTGAGGAACACCTCTGCAAATAGAAGATAAGCAATTGGGAAGCAAGGCACACCTCACTGGCAAAGCTTCAGCAATGCAACCTATTTCTGCAGCAGCTGAGTCTTAGTGGCAGCTTTTCTCCTCATGTAGATGTAAAACCCTTCAAGCAAGTTAAGCACACCCACAGCGGGTAGAGAAGATACCATGTTAAACAGCTGAGTCCAAAGCATAAGCTCTGGAGAGAGATGCATGGACTTTTGGTATTGATTACTCCAACGCTTTTGGAGTTTTGGTGGTTGCTGTGTGGCTCCTTTACTAGCTCTTAATGAGGCCCCTAAGGTGCTTTTATCTTGCAGGGGCCTCTGAAGGGTCCATGAAACCATCTGTTAATCAGAGGCTGCTGAATGATCAGGCTATTAGTGAGCCTTCCCCAAAACATGCTCCAATTCCACAGTATAATTTGTACCATACATGCCTCAGTGGGGTTGAGCAGCAACTGCAGGACTAGTGCAGTCAAACTCTAGTTCTCTTCTGTCAGAGGCAGAAGACAGTAATAGTGTGCAAGTGGGGGGGGG